ATATGATTGCCTTCCCGTATATGACATCTATTTCTCTGCAAAGAGTGAGAGAGATATGCGAAGGGATGGGAAGGGAAGTGAAAAAAGTTATAAGAGATGGATATTTAGTTTATTCGTGTGATTGACTGTCTCTACGTCTGGGCCTTAATTGTGCGAAAAAGCATTAAAAAATGCTGTAATAATGACAGACATAAGGGAGTGAATGAAAGATAAATCAAAAGAAATATAATAATGATATTTGCCATTAAAAAGATAAGGTTTTAGTTTTAGACAATTATATGCATTTTGAATATCAATTGATAATTTAAACACAAATTCTTTAGTCTAAAAATTCGTAACACATTTACAATGCCATGAATTTTGAACAAATGTTAGATTATATTGAATAACAAAATATTTGAATTTATTTTACAGATATATTTAAAAATTCAATTGAAGAAGAAATGGAAACATATTTTTATCGCTGATTAATACAAAAATTTCAAAAATACTCATAAAATGATTGGCAAAAATATTGTGATTTATGTATTAATCGTAACGAGTATTTGGCAGTCAGTCGTTGGCCAACAAAGTAAGAGTCCATTAAATGATTGCATAAATCAATTGAATTAATATTCAAGTGATTAATCGATGGCTTTATTAACAGATATATCGCCGCAAAGATTTGCTATCGAACCGAGCGATAAGACAGCTATAGTGGGCGATACAGTAATCTTACCATGTAGAGTCGATCATAAACTGGGTACTTTACAATGTATGTATTACTACCACCCCTTTTAATGAACACAATATTAACATTGTTTTGATTGCAAACTTAGGGACGAGAGATGGGTTTGGTTTGGGAACTGAGAGGAATCTCATGGGTTTCCCGCGATATCACATGATTGGAACGGATGACGAGGGTATGTCTGGACGTGATTAACGTTGTGGTCATTTTGAATGGACTAATGAATTGATTGTATTCTTCAGGCGATTATTCTCTGCAAATAAACTCAGTTCTACTCGAAGACGACGCTGTGTTTCAATGTCAAGTCGGGGCCTCCGATGGGGTGCGAGGTATCAGATCCCGGAGCGCATCGTTCACAGTGTTTGCACCGCCGGAACTGCCGGTCATAGTCCAGGCCAGAGCTCAGGGCGATTACCTCCGGACCACTGCCGGCATGAATATAGAGCTGACGTGTGAAGCGCACGGAGGGAAACCTCCCGCAGAGGTATGACATATCTGTCCATTGGATTACACCATAACATCCATTGTCTGTCTATTCATTCATTTCTAATCCCTTTTCAATGACTTTCTTCTCGATTATTGACTAAACATTTATTTCAAAGATCTATGAGTTTTGTAACGAGTTTTGAATTGTTAGACATTTATTTCACATTCAATCACACCTTAAGTCACATTTGATTTTAAATCTGACACAAGATGTGTGGTTACAGTCAAAGCCGTTTATAGTATACTGAATATGACAGACAATGTGATAAATAGATAAATGTATATTAATTGCTTGTGGTAACCATAGCTAACATGGCTGGACGGGGAGGGAAACGCTGTTCAGACGGGTATCTCATATACGACCCAATTATTAAGTGATGGGAAGCGTTGGAACGCAGCCCTCAAGTGGACATTCATAGCCACCAAAGACTTTGACGGCAAACAACTGACGTGTCGTTCAGAAAACGCGGCACTAAAACAGCCTAAATATACAGACATTAAGGTTGAGGTGAAATACGCGCCCGAAGTGCACATCAGAGCCGACACTATTCAACAACAGATCGGCGAAGACATTGTCCTCTACTGTGAGGCGAACGGAAACCCCAATCAAGTGGTGTATAAGTGGTTCCGAAACGAAGAACAGGTGACCGGAGATCACGGCTCGCGTCTAGTCCTCAATAAAGTCACTAAAGATATGAACGGAATTGTCATGAGTTGTGAGGCGTCTAACAGTGTGGGCACCGGTCGGGGAAAGTGGACACTCGATGTGGTGTACGGACCGTACTTTAGGACACCTTTGGACCCATTCATCGGCGCAGAGACGGCACAGGACTTGACCCTCAAGTGTGATGTCGACGGCAATCCTCGACCCAACATAACATGGCTTATGGTTGGCAGCAGTCATGTGGTCAGCACTGGACCCGAACTCATGATCCGAGACATGAGTGCCGACAGAGAGGGCCGGTATATGTGTCGCGCGTCTGTCAAAGGATTCCCAGAGATTTCAGCACAAAGTCTCGTCTTTATTAAAGGTATGAAAACTACTATTCATTACTATTTATATTACAATTTCACAACATTTTATAAAATAACTAAATCTTAAGAGTTTTGTCACAAATAAATACAAACTTAAAGATAATTCACAGACAAAATGATTATTTGATTTCATAAATCAAATTTTGGAGACAATTCTAATACAAACTGAATCTCATAACAAACAAAACAAAACTAAACCAAAAATTCATTCAGTTTTTGTAATTTTCCCACAAAACACATAATCGATAGGATTTATAAGTGAATGAGAAATACAATCATTTTATGATTTTATTGTGATATTAAAGTGACTAAAACTCCATAGAAATGATGACAACAATCAAAACCTAAACGCAATTGTATTGTAAAACAAGTAATAAAATGTATTTAAACCCGACTACAGGTCCGCCGCGTATAAGACGTCCATACGTTCAGTACGGTATGGATGGACAGGCAGTTAACGTGGAATGCATTATAGACTCCATTCCGACGCCGACCAAGATTTTATGGTTTCATAATTCACGGGTTTGTATAACATTGCTATCCATCGATACAAATGATAAATACTTACCGTTTTATAACTGCA